ACCAGCACACACCTAACCCTAAACCATTACCAGTACATACCTAACCCACCAACGCCACTTCTTCTTATGCGGCCCGGGCTTTGGTCCCATAAGGAGCAGTTGGCCCTCACATCATAGTATTTGTTGGAAATATGGGCCTTACAAGGTAACATACAAAGACACACTTCCATCCTACATATGATGGGTTTAGTAGCTGCAGGCCATGTATCAGTAAACCCACCTCTGTCTCCACCATTCCTCATATTGGTCTCATCTTCGTCTCCTCCGTCATCCACTAAAAATAAAAGAACAGAGAAGAGCAGGATCCTCTGATGATACAGAAGAAAATTTGAGGTCTAGAATTAATTTTAAGGAAGGCGTATGGCCCGCTGTCTTTCTTGTCAGAATTTTAAACAAAAACCTGATGAAGTTTCAGTCAGACCTCGTGGATTGCATCATGCATGGTCTCTTGTGATAAACACTCTGCTTCTGCGCCTTCGCCTGAAACGTGTCGAGTGGACAAACCTGAGTGAAGCTCCTTCACCAGCGATGACATCGTGTTTGTAATTGAGTCAGCAGCAACTAGAAGATCATTTCGCAGATTTCTAGGGACACCTAAGAGACAGAGTCATTTTCAGGTCAAACGTGCACTTTGTCTCTCTGGGCTCTTCATCCTGTTCACGTTCCTAATCAGAGCTTTGTGTTTGAGGTGTTGGCTTCATCTCACCTTGAGCGAAAGCCTCCAGCACATCCCCGCCCACCCCTGCCAGGCAGTCCTGCGGCGTGTGGGTGGGGGTGGAGCCAGCTGAGGTGGAGCGTATGGGCATGGGCATGGAGCAGCCGGCACCGTGACTGGGAGACGAATGGGGAGAGCCTCCAGACTGGGACTGCAACACATAAACATTACCCATCATACAGTGGTTTCTGGGTTCAAATACTGCATTTGTGTAAAATCTACTTATTTACTAAATGTCTAAAAGTCAGGTCATTATTATTATTGTATGGTTATTATACCAAACTGCAGCATTTTTTCTAAGAATAGTGCCGGTGCTACAAGCTTCTCAAAATAAAAAAGTGCTGAAAATATTTATTTATCTTGATTTATCTGCTGAGTAAATATAGTTACAAAGCCTTCAGTGTAAATAAAGTAAAAGAAAGTATTCACTGTAGGTACATCTACTTGTCATATCAGTGAAACAGAGCAACCCTTTGCTCCCAGTGAGCACGTTTGCAGATGATGTGATGTTTTATAGAAAAGGTCCAGTTGCTCCTCTGTGCTCCTGTTTCAGTACAATGTGTGGCCCTTCAGTCCCTTTAATAAAGTCAAAATGACCCTCTGGAAATAAATAAATTAAAAAATATTTGCCCACAACTCTGGGGCGTAGATAGAGAAAAAAAGATTTATGAAGCTCGTTAAGCTCTTCATGATCAAAAAAACATATTGGATCAGGTGACTCAGACAAAGAGTCATTAAAGACGTGCTGAGCCTGTTTAGCTGTTAAAGAAGACATTTACCAAAGACAACACAGACGTGACTGAATGATATTAATCCTTGCAAGACAACCCCCCCCCCCACCCCCCAAACCAAAAACAAAAAAAACAACAACAACAACCTAAACTGACAATTTAACTTCAATGAAATATTGGTCTTCTCTCTCCACAGTACGTCAGACAGTACATTGATGGTTGATGGATGTGTGACTGCTGCAGTGCTCAGTGTGACACCGTATTTCAGTGAAAGTCCGTCTGAGTGGGGTCGCTGGGGCAGACTGGGTGGATGGTGTCTCTGTGGTAGACTGGGTAGATGGTGTCTCTGTGGTAGACTGGGTGGATGGTGTCTCTGTGGTAGACTGGGTGGATGGTGTCTCTGGGGCAGACTGGGTGGATGGTGTCTCTGGGACTGTGGCAGACTGGGTGGATGGTGTCTCTAGGACTGTGGCAGAC